TGTGTGTGTGTGTGTGTGTGTGTGTGTGTGTGTGTGTGTGTGTGTGTGTGTGTGTGTGTGTGAGGACTCCTCTCTTCCTGTGTGCCGATCTGAAGATGATTGTGCAGAAAGCTGATATTAGTTGCAGCTGCTGAGCAGAAGTTTCCTCTCCGTGCCCTTCCTTCCCTCTGTGTCTCTYGAGCACAAACACACTCGTCCTCTCAAAGCTTTGTGTTGGTGCCAGCTCAGGTCCCTGGTACTTCTGCTGATGTTAACATTTCACAGAGCAGAATGTGGCTTCCTGAAACTCATTTATGTAGTGAACTGTCGTGAAACAGAGCAGTGAATGCTTACATAAAAAAATGTTAATTTATTTAAACAATATAAGAGAATACAACTGTTCTCATAACACTAAGTACAGTATAAATATTTTGGACCATGTGATAAACACAAAAATGTAGGGTGTTTCAATCCATTTTATGTTTTGTTYCTTTTCAGAGAACGTTACATAAACTTGGGATAATTTTTCTTTAATCCTATTAGCTTCATTTAATTTGTCAGTTAGTAGCCACACCTCCTTTTTCAAAACACAAGTCATCGCAGCAGTTTAGTGCTACTAATGTATGAGGTGCAAAGTATAAAATAAAAATGTTTTAAAAAACGTCACTTAACACATTTTCAGTATTTAATATTTTAATGTTATTTGCCTCACTGTTGTTACAATTTGCAAATTCTTACTAATTGAATCTAAGTAGTATATGTAAATATTAAATCCTAAATCTAAATGTTTAATAGTTAAATTTTAAATGTTGCAGCTAAATGATGACGCATACATTGAATAAGTTTGGAATGGAACATGGCGTTTRTTGTTGGTGAGCTGCTTTTGTTGTGATGTCATCATCCTGCGACAAAAGCAGCTGCTAACGCTGCTTTAGATGACATTTACAATGTAAATTCAGAACGTGTTCATTGAAAACAATATGGATGATACCTGTGGTCCGTCAGTTTGAAGTGCAGCTCAGACATGCTGCAAGTTTTATGTCTTGTAGGAAAGTGTTAGCAGCATTAGCGATTGCTTTTGTGGCAGGATTATGACATCCTCACCATAACCAGACGTAGGCTGTGTCCAAAACGGCAGCACGGGTCCTCCGAAGGTTGAATTTGTCGGCCGCATGCGTCACAGCGCCACGATGAAGGCCATCCAAAACCGAAGACTCCTCCGATGCGGCCGACAAATGTGTCCTTCCTTTGGCCTGAATCGAAGGACAGGTCTGATGGATCCTTCCCGGCCCAGACTATCCCATAATGCATTGCGGCCCGACCGGAGATTTTTCTATGCTAGTAATGGCGGACGAAGCGAGAGAATTTAATACATTTTAAATAAAAATATGGCGATATAAAAATTGAAATTTTTTAGCGGTTGTAATTCTAATACTTTTATCATTTGAATGGACATGTTTTTAAATGTTATTTTTGTCATAAAAACGCGAAATAAACATGCACCTACAGCAGTCAATTAGTTCTTCAAATG